TCTCTCTCTCGTAGCCTGCAGATACTGAGAAGTTTGGTAGCGAGAGGGTGAGGGAGAGATGGTGGACTTAGAAGAGGAAGAAGAAAAACTCTCTCTCTCTCTCGCTCTCTCAGTCCGGTACTAACCTGTGAAGGTGGCGCCTTGTTGCAGGTACATCGAAGACGAAGCTGGAGCTATGGCGCCACAGGTAAGTCTCCCTGGCCTCTGCCAACCATCTCTCTCTCTCCAACGCTACTCTAGCTCCTAATAGCGCCCAGCATTGAAGACTACTGGTAACGCTACTACTACTACTGCAGCGCTCCTCCAGAGTGCTGCTGCCGAATCCTGAAGACTGCCTCCTGCCTCCTGCACGTGAAGTGCCTGGGAAGTCCCTATGAACTACCTTGTGACTCTCTGCAGCCTGTAGGGCGGGCCAGTCTTATATAGTGCTGGCCCATCCAGGAGGCTGCTCTTGCCAATGCCAAAACGTGCCAGACCCTGGCGTTGAAGCTCAAACAAAGGTTGTCTTCAAAACAGGCCCAAAATGGCCTGTGCTAAAACCCTGGTCTGGTGCCTAAGTTTCAGGGCAGGTCGACTTTATGAGGGCCTGAAAATGGCCCTCGTTTTCGGGCTTTTAGGCTGAAACGACAATGGGCCTGTAGGCCCTTGTTTTCAGGCTTTTAGGCTTGAAATGACACAGGGCCTGTAGGGTCATGAATTTCCGTCTGGTCGGGCCCTGCAGGCCCGTGTGGCTGCGCAGTATGCCACATCTGATGAGTGTATGATTACGGATACAGGGCTCGAACGAATGCAGAACCGCGAACGCAACATAGATTAGATGGGTCATCTGCAGGCCGACAAGCGCTGTGTCTTCTGGCAGGCATTGCGAAAACCAGACAGCATCCAGGGTGCGAGAGAAGACTCGGCCTACAAGCAGTGTGTCCGCAGGCATTGCGAAAAACAGACAGCATCCAGATTGAGAGAGACGACTCTGAGGTGGACTCTCGAACGTTCATTCACAAACTTTCGTCTTCGTGTGCAAAGTAATGATCCAACTCCATGAATCATCGTAAGCGGGACACATCGGTCATGTGCACACGAGCATCGCCAAGCAGGGATGTGCACAGCGTTTGCGAGGGAAAGCTTTGACAGGCAAATTGCAGGCTTTGAGCAAGGACACAAGGAGGAGGAGGAGGAGGAGGAGGAGGAGCTTTAAAGAACATATGCTTCTCATGCG